CAACTAGGAAGCAGAGAATTTTCGTAAATAGGTTAAAATCAGTATGGAGTCGACTCACAAATGGCATTCCACAAGGAGCAAGTTTGATCGTTGCTCACGGTTATGTAAACGACCTTGACGGGGAAATCAAATGTGACATAAGTAAATTCGAATAATGGATTCGCTGGAGGATACCCTTAAACTTCAGTAATATATGAACAGGCTATTGTAGTGATCGGAGAAGTGACAGATGCAGCTCAGTGTTGGAATAAGGTGAATGCTGACAGTTTGCTTAAATCCTCTTATTAACCCTTTACCAGGCCTGGTAAAGGGTTAAAGGATTAAAGTGCTCATGACTAGTGTTGAAGGTTACATACAGCCCTAATGACCCTTATGTAGTTGACAGACTAATTTTAAACCCAATTAACCAATAAGCAATTTGCCTCTATATTAATTACTGCCTTCACTTGCTTTACTTTCTCACAGACTCGTTCATCTTTTGTCTCCTTCACTAATCATTTTACTCAGTTTCAATTATCCTCTTATTAATCACCGTTAGCAGCTTTCTCCTGCCTTCCGTTGTTTGTGTTGTTAGTCTCCTCGCCTCTCCAACACCAGACTTCCATCATTGTCTTCTCCAAAGTTGACTCGCGTCTCTAATATTAAACACACCAAGTGAAACTTATATTTTTTTCCTGTAAGAATTTTATTTCTTGTGATAATTTTACGCTTTAAGTGAGTTCTCCTTTTTTAATTTTCATTTTCATACACAAAAAATTTCAAATACCCAACTTACACACAAATTATACGTTCAGTAACAAATCTGTTATATTGTTATATATTGAAACATGTCTGTGATATATATATATATATATATATATATATATATATATATATATATATATATATATATATATATATATTATTATCACACTGGCCGATTCCCACCAAGGCAGGGTGGCCCGAAAAAGAAAAACTTTCACCATCATTCACTCCATCACTGTCTTGCCAGAAGGGTGCTTTACACTACAGTTTTTAAACTGCAACATTAACACTCCTCCTTCAGAGTGCAGGCACTGTACTTCCCATCTCCAGGACTCAAGTCCGGCCTGCCGGTTTCCCTGAACCCCTTCATAAATGTTACTTTGCTCACACTCCAACAGCACGTCAAGTATTAAAAACATTTGTCTCCATTCACTCCTATCAAACACGCTCACGCATGCCTGCTGGAAGTCCAAGCCCCTCGCACACAAAACCTCCTTTACCCGCTCCCTCCAACCTTTCCTAGGCCGACCCCTGCCCCGCCTTCCTTCCACTACAGACTGATACACTCTTGAAGTCACTCTGTTTCGCTCCATTCTCTCTACATGTCCGAACCACCTCAACAACCCTTCCTCAGCCCTCTGGACAACAGTTTTGGTAATCCCGCACCTCCTCCTAACTTCCAAACTACGAATTCTCTGCATTATATTCACACCACACATTGCCCTCAGACATGACATCTCCACTGCCTCCAGCCTTCTCCTCGCTGCAACATTCATCACCCATGCTTCACACCCATATAAGAGCGTTGGTAAAACTATACTCTCATACATTCCCCTCTTTGCCTCCAAGGACAAAGTTCTTTGTCTCCACAGACTCCTAAGTGCACCACTCACCCTTTTCCCCTCATCAATTCTATGATTCACCTCATCTTTCATAGACCCATCCGCTGACACATCCACTCCCAAAATATCTGAATACGTTCACCTCCTCCATACTCTCTCCCTCCAATCTGATATCCAATCTTTCATCACCTAATCTTTTTGTTATCCTCATAACCTTACTCTTTCCTGTATTCACTTTTAATTTTCTTCTTTTGCACACCCTACCAAATTCATCCACCAATCTCTGCAACTTCTCTTCACAATCTCCCCAGAGCACAGTGTCATCAGCAAAGAGCAACTGTGACAACTCCCACTTTATGTGTGATTCTTTATCTTTTAACTTATATAATATATATATATATATATATATATATATATATATTATATATATATATATATATATATATATATATATATATAATATATATCGTGCCGAATAGGTAAAACTGGTCAGTTAGCAAGAACGCATTTAAAATTATGTTCTTTCTAAAAATTTTCTTTTATACATTTAAAGATATATTATTTCACATATACTATGTTAATATAAAAATTAATGATTTTGCACCAAAACAACCTTAGGAAACTTACCTAACCTTATTATAACAAGCGCAATTTAATTTAGCCTAATCAACTAAATATATTTTATACAAGTTTACAATAATTTAATAATAAACAAACGTAATGAAAAATTTTTTTTTTTCGTTAGATTCAGAATGATTTTTGCGAAATTATTGCATACACATATTATCGCTTGCCCTGTTCGGCACGACATATATATATATATATAATTTTTTGATGGTATCCCGCCTTTAGTGTTTGTAGCTATTTTCATTTCCTTTGGGCTAAGTTCCATTGTGTGGAGACGGAATCTACTATTTAACTAGCTATCATAAACGCGTGATTCTCTCTCTTCCTTCAAGTCATCTTCTGGTAGAAGATGTGTCACGCAAAATTCCAAGACACTTTCCCACTGGAGGGAGGAAACTAGTGTGATAGTGACGACATCGTCCACTGGTGGTTGTGTCAACAACGGCAGCGTTAGTTATAGTAAGAATTACAGCATCAGTGAGTTATAGGTAATGTCAGCAGTTATATTAATAGACATGTTAAGTTATGTTTGTCAGGAAACAAGTGTTTCCTGACGTGGATCTTAGTCATGTGATGACCCACAGCTGGAGCTTTTGGCCATCAGACCCGAGGCCTTCCGCTGGCTTAGTGGTCCACCCCTTTAAAAATTATGGTTATGATTATAACCATTTTTTCTTTGTATAAAAGTACAGATTAATGGACAGTATTGCTGATGCTGTCTGTTAAGCTGACTGATGTCAATTTTCAGAATGTCTAGCACAATATTTTTTTTTTTTTTGGGGGGGGGGGGAGGAGGGGGGAGAGATGGACCTAGTGAATTATTGCCAGGAAAACCACAAATTGTAAAATAGTCCCCAATTAAAGTGAATCTTCTAGAGTAAATAAAAGTAAGAGGCAGTATTTTTTTTTTACTATAAAGAGTTGAAAATTGTACGAATGAGGGAGAAAACAATACGTAATTATTGATAGTTGGCGGAACTCTAATTATCAATTTTTAAGCCATAATAGAAAATTAGTTGTAGCGAAGCAACTGTATTGAATTATAATACTTAGGTTAATTATAGATTATTATAATTGATATATTTCAATGTTATTAGATGTCAGCTTTGTGGGTTTTTTTCATTAAATCTCCAAGTTAAATTTACCACACAATTCTAGGGAGATAAGGGACACGTAAGTACCTGTCTTCTAATAACATGTTCATTTTTTCCACTATAATCTACCTTGTCCGTAATTACTATCGCCTTTGAGATAGTAATTATGGACGTGGTAATGAACACGTTATTAGAAAACGGGGGAACTTACGTGCCTCTTATTTTTTTCATGTCGACTTTCATACCCTGTTAACTAACTAACCTCTCATGTTTGTTGCTGCTGATCCATCAACAATGATATTGTCGAAAGTATTACAATTATCTTCGTCAGTGTGCAGTAACTCTGCAGGGTAATGCAGAAGTCCAATTTTCATTTTTTGACCATTTCGTGTTTGTCGGTGTCTCGGAGATTAATGATCAGAGGACCTCGCTGCTGATGACTCCACTTGGGGGTCGAAATATACAGCCTCAGTTGAGTTGTTAGCTTTATATGTCTTTTTATGCCTCCTTTACTTAGTCTGTGAACGGTTGTCAGAAGATAATTGAGGCACATAATGGGTCTAAGGACTCGGGCCCAATGTTTTGATAGCTAAGCAAGTTACAGTACAGAGGGAATGAACTTCTTATAAAGAGTATGATCTGGTTTATGCAGCCATGAATTCAGCCACAAAAAAAAATCAGTGTAGTCTGTGTTCATGAGTTCTTTATGATACCCGTATTTTTACAAAGTATGTTTGAAGTTAGACAAGGTTAGGTTAGGTAAGATTCGTCAGTAAACAGGACAGTTGTTTCTGAACGTGGGTTTTAGTTATATGATGACCCGCCACTGGAGTTTCTGGTCATTTGACCGAGGCCTTCCACTAGCCGTCCACCCCTTTAAAAACTGATATTTTTAAGTTATACAAGGTAAAGCGGTTATGATTTATGTACAGTAGGCAAATCCATGGTACTTTTACAGAATGGCTGGTAACATGAAACTGTGGACGTTATACTTTTGACATTTTTTTTATCGTTTGTAGATGACTTTTTTCTGATTTTTTTTTTTCATTTCAACGAATGATGACGCAGGGTGTGACAATCTTCTGGCAAAATTTACAGTCGCAAAGGTACCTGTAGCCCAGCCAAAGTCGGGCAGTAGTAGCATCCAGGAGTCTTTAATTCTGGATGTGCCATTGACATGTGGCTTTACTTGCATGATAGAACGACGGTTAATGGATTGAATGATGTAGTATTGTCCTCAAACTTCAAATGGTCAGCCCCAGGTTGTAATTTACTCCCTGGAGGTCAAGCTTAAGGCTTGGTGGACGTCCGTTCATAGAGGTCAAGCTTACTCAAAGCTCAGTTTGACCTTTACCAGTTCATCAGTTTTATCATTTGCAAGCCAGTGTGAGAAGAAATCCTAAAAAGGTGTACTCTTAATGCCACTTACTACAATCCTTCGTATTAATGCCACTACAATCCTTCATATTAATGCCACTTACTACAATCCTTCGTATTCTTAATGCCACTTACTACAATTCTTCGGTCCTACTTTCTGTCATAAGCATGTCACACTTGACACTCACGGAGTTAAGAGTATTATAGATGATAAATAATCACAATTAACGTGGCAGGTTTCAGCTGCAGTTTTAGTGTCTTCATGTGGGCGTCTCGACATATATGTAATGTAACTTATTATATGTGTGATCCGCAGATGTGGGAGAAGAGGCAGGTGGCAGCTGTGTGGGCGGTGGTGTGGGTGGTAGTGCTGATGGGCGGGGCTGACTCCACCTTTAGCAGGAACAGAGGGCGCTATAGGCCGCCTGCAAAGTGTACCCCTGTGTATGTCACTATGTACCAGACACAAACTGTCCAGGTGAGTATATGTATACTGTTGTGTGTATGTACTGTTGTGTGCGTGTTATACCTGCTGTGGGTTGAGCTCAGCAGTATAACTTTTTCCACTCATAACAATGTTATCCTATTTAGTTGTTCCTAAGGTTATTATATGCATGGGGGAAGTCTAGACCCGCAAAGGTCATACATCGCCTGGTTAACTAGAGGTGTGATGGTTGATCAGATTTGATGTGAAGGAGAGAAAACCTCTAGTTCCTTGGACTGGAGCATCAAGGCAATAATCCCTTGAACAATCCTGAGGCTAGAACTTTATTGCGCTAGCGACTCAGTTTTCCCTCTTCCAGTTCTATAAACTGACTGTCAGGCGGCATGATTGCTCTCCTACCCTTTTATTCCCATATCGTAGCATAAGTTTTTTTTTCTAGCATCCTACTTATGGGAGTTGTGGTGATAGTGCAAGGGGAATGAAGTGTGATGTATGGTATACAGTAATAGTGTGGTGGTAAGGGTGTTGTTAGTCACACTGGTAAAGCTGTACTTAGTTATTGATGCTGAACATTGCTGATAGTAGTGTGGGTGGTGTTGCTTTGGTGATGTTAATAAGGCACAGTATGCTGTTTATGGCATTTCATTGAAAAGCCCTTTCGTCCACCAGGGACCTTATCAGTTCTCATGAGAATTTAAGTTCCTGGTGGGCGAAACGTCTTCTCAGTAAAATACCATAAACCGCATATTGTCTTATATATCGACAAGCATGTTCATAATACCTTTGATATGCATTTAGTGGTGGTGATGTTAGTGATGTGGTGATGCTGGTGAGATGCCGAGGATGTATTTCGTTGCTAGGCTGAGGTTAGACAGTATAGGAAAAGGCAAGGACAAAATGCAACCAACCAAGCCATGGTAAGACTTTTCCTGTGTTTGCGAGAGTCACCTGACTACACGACCAGGGGCGTCCCGGTCATGTATCTGGTCTGTATCATGCCATACCTTCAGCACACAAAAGCAGGAAAACTAGCAAGGAAAGAGGGGAAACGAGAAAGTGAGAAGGGATGAGGACAGGATGAGGGAGAGGGAGGTGAAAGAGAAATATAAAAATAAGTAAGGATTGTGGGGAAATTAGTGAATGGAACATAAAGAGGGGAAACATAAATAGAGAAGTTGATGAAAGAAAGGGAGACAAGAAAGGATGATGAATATAGGGAGAGAGGAAGGAGGATGTAGAGAGAGGGGGACAATCACCTTTCATCCAGGAAATAATTTCCTGACTCATCCCGTGCTGACAGGGGAAACTCACTCGTCATTCATCACTTTCCCTGGATGATAAATCGCAAATACTAACATGTATCTGAGTATTATTACAGTTTTTGTGAAAGAGAAAAGTCATTCTCGCCTATAAATGTTTTACGAATTCTTACTGTAGCGACTAAACTTGTGAGATACAGGATAAAGGGAAATAGTGGAATTCCTTGGAGTGACAAGACAACTGGCAACTTGACTTTACGATATAGCAAATGTGCAATGAATGATGGCGGCGTGTGGCCCGAAATTCCGTTGAATTTCATAGATGCGAGTGATAATTTGTAATAAACGTGAGGGGACTTAGTGTTAGCACACCGTCTTGGCACGCCATTCAAGTCGGATTTTTCCCTTCACTTCCTCTCGCCTTTATATCCAACCATCGTCTAGGTAGAATTGTTTGAACTAAGCAGTGTTCTCCAAAGAACGGTAAAGATTACGGCTATAACGCATTTGTAACATATTTGGACAGGAAAAGGGATGTATGGATCAAATGTTTGTGTCGAAGCACATGAAGTGCAGCAACTATAAATGTTTGAGATTTTGCCACTAAAGCGGCTAGTTGATTGTGAACCACATACACATGTCCATCTTTTAAATTGTAGAAGGCATATCGTATAGTGCATGAGTAAGCAATATCATTAGTATTCCAAGTATGTAGAAATAAGTGTCTGAAAACTGTTAGTTTTTATAAGGGAAGTGAGGGGCTAGAGAGGTGGATAATTTTTTTCAGTAAAAGTTGGCGTTGGAGAGCAATATGGGGTCACTGTGGGTGTTTAATAACAATGATCCTTTTATAAAGTGGAGTTTTTTATTTCTTTTTTGCTGATTACACTATACTTTTGGGAAATTTAGAAGAGAAGCAGCAAGTTTAGTAGAGGAGCTTGGAAGTGTAAGACAAGGAAAGTAAAAAGATTATGCCTAATCAAGCATTAATAGCAGTAGCAATGGTAACAAAGTATCAGTAGTAACGGTAGCAACAATTTCAGCAGCAGTGGTAGTAGGTAACAGTAGTGAAACATTGTAGAGTTAGTAATAACAAACTGTTATAGCTTTAAGAATAACAGCTTCATAAGTATGATCACTGTATGCAGTACAACTAACCTGTATCTTCTCTTTAGCAACCCGTGTATATGACTGTATACCGGACGCAGCAGGTCCCCACCACTCTGTACCAGACAGTGTATAAGACAGTTAACGAAGTGCAGTACTCCACCCGGTACGTGCAGCAGTACGTCACTACCACCGCATACCGTACCCAGTTCAACACCCAGACCATCTACTCCACCTCCTACAGCGTCCAGTACGAACCTGTCTATCTCACTTCTACCAACTATGTGCCTTCCTATGTCACCACCACAGAGATCTCGTACCAGTACGAGACGAAGACGCAGTTCAAAACTCAGTACTCGACGGTGACGCAGCCAAAGTACGTCACATCGACGAAGTACAGCACAGAGTACAAGACAGAGTACCAAACAAAGTATCAACCCAGTATGTGACAGTCACCAGCACTCAGCAGTCGTACAAGACTGAATGTCCTCAGCAGGGTTATGGGGCCCCACAGCAGAGCTACGGAGTCCCCCAGCAAGGGCTTCCGTCACCACAATCTTTCCATCCCAAGTGTACAATGTTCCAGTACTAGAAGCACAACCTCAGCAGTCTTATGGAACCCCTTCAGCACCAGCCCCTCAACAATCTTATGGAACTCCTTCAGCCCCTCAACAATCTTATGGAACTCCTTCAGCCCCTCAGCAATCTTATGGAACCCCTTCAGCCCCTCAACAATCTTATGGAACTCCTTCAGCCCCTCAACAATCTTATGGAACCCCTTCAGCCCCTCAACAGTCTTATGGAACTCCTTCAGCCCCTCAACAATCTTATGGAACCCCTTCAGCCCCTCAACAATCTTATGGAAGTCCTTCAGCCCCTCAACAGTCTTATGGAAGCCCTTCAGCACCTCAACAGTCTTATGGAACTCCTTCAGCACCTCAACAGTCTTATGGAACCCCTTCAGCACCTCAACAGTCTTATGGAACCCCTTCAGCACCTCAACGGTCTTATGGAACTCCTTCAGCACCAGCACCTCAGCAGTCTTATGGAACCCCTTCAGCACCAGCACCTCAACAGTCTTATGGAACCCCTTCAGCACCAGCACCTCAACAGTCTTATGGAACTCCTTCAGCACCAGCACCTCAACAGTCTTATGGAACTCCTTCAGCACCAGCACCTCAACAGTCTTATGGAACCCCTTCAGCACCAGCACCTCAGCAGTCTTATGGAACTCCTTCAGCACCAGCACCTCAACAGTCTTATGGAACTCCTTCAGCACCAGCACCTCAACAGTCTTATGGAACCCCTTCAGCACCAGCACCTCAACAGTCTTATGGAACTCCTTCAGCACCAGCACCTCAACAGTCTTATGGAACTCCTTCAGCACCAGCACCTCAACAGTCTTATGGAACTCCTTCAGCACCAGCACCTCAACAGTCTTATGGAACCCCTTCAGCACCAGCACCTCAACAGTCTTATGGACCCCCTTCAGCACCAGCACCTCAACAGTCTTATGGAACTCCTTCAGCACCAGCACCTCAACAGTCTTATGGAACCCCTTCAGCACCAGCACCTCAGCAGTCTTATGGAACTCCTTCAGCACCAGCACCTCAACAGTCTTATGGAACCCCTTCAGCACCAGCACCTCAGCAGTCTTATGGAACTCCTTCAGCACCAGCACCTCAACAGTCTTATGGAACTCCTTCAGCACCAGCATCTCAGCAATCTTATGGAACTCCTTCAGCACCAGCACCTCAACAGTCTTATGGAACTCCTTCAGCACCAGCACCTCAACAGTCTTATGGAACTCCTTCAGCACCAGCACCTCAACAGTCTTATGGAACCCTTCAGCACCAGCACCTCACAGTCTTATGGAACTCCTTCAGCACCAGCACTCAGACAGTCTTATGGAACTCCTTCAGCACCAGCATCTCAGCAATCTTATGGAACTCCTTCAGCACCAGCACCTCAACAGTCTTATGGAACTCCTTCAGCACCAGCATCTCAGCAATCTTATGGAACTTCTTTAGTATCAATTCCTGAACAGTTCTATGAACTTCCTTTAGCACCAGCACCTCAACAGTCCTATGAAGTTCCTTCATTGCCGGTATCTCAATCTTACGGAGTTCCTTCAGGTCCAATACTTCAGGAATCCTACACGGCTCCTATATCACCAGCAATCGATGAATCCTACGGGGCTCCTCTATCACAAGATCTCCAGGATTCTTACGTGGTTTCTCAGCCACCAACTCCCATTTTCGTGAATCCTCCAGCAACTCAGGATAGCTACGCAGCTTCTCAGCTGGAAATCATACCACTGTCTCCTGTCGCTGTTTTAGAATCCTACAGCCCTTCTCAAGAAGGACCACAGGATTCCTACTTACCTCCTCCAGCACCACAAGATTCTTACAGAGAGCCCTCAAATAACTTAGATCTAGGACCAGAGTCCTTTGGAACGTTCGTGGAAGATTTTGGCCCATCTTTTGCTGTATATAGAGGGCAAAAGAAACGGGAACTTCCAGCTGAAGAAATCAAGGTGATGAAGGACAAAATGAAGATCATTAGCAAGACTGACACACCTGAAGACTAGCAAGATGCACCAGGAGTGAGAGAGACATCAGAAGTATCACAAGAGAGCAACGACATGTGACAAGTGTGACTGGAGAGACGATACCAATGTATAAAGTGCAAATGTTGTAGCCTTGTATAACTGAAGACGATTTTCATATACAGCCTCTCCTCACTTACCGACATACTTGTTTACTGACGACTCGGACTTACGATGGGCTCTGACCAGTATGCATACCTAAATAATGTATATTAGAGCTGATTTCCTCTATTCTGTTTATTACAGTATACACTACATTACTATATAAACATTTAAAAATATACCAGAAATGTTATAAATGGTGCAAGGTGACATTAAAATAATATCAAAGATGGCCGACACAGACCCACTACCATTATAGCATGTTCCTCACTTAACGACGAATTTGTTTACTGATGTGGTCTTAGGAACGGAACTCTGTCATTAAGTGAGGAGAGGCTGTATAGATATTAAGGAACGATATACTCATTTAGTTTTAAGCTTGTAAGTTATGTTTTGCCCTGCAAATTATATATAGTATATATATATATATGTATACTAGTGTGTGTATGTATATATATGCACACCTGCCATAGATGTACAGCATCCAGGAAGAGTAGAAAGGATTCAGGTCTTTGTGATAGAGACCAAACGTTATAGTTTAGTTACTGCTGGCAAACTTAGAGCATTCAGATCCAAGGTCCAATAATCACCTGTTTACCACATCCTTACCCACTCTTCCAACTCCCATTTGTACAGTTTATATATTTTTACCACTATCACACTTTTTTCATATACTTTTTGCAACCGAACAAATTACTAAGCCAAATATAGTAGTTATTTTTATACAAATATTTTTTTTACTTAGAATCTGAACTTTACAATGGAATTTTTCACTCGTGTCTTTGATCACATTTCCTTCATATTCTTGATCATCGATGTCCTTTGTGTCCTTGATCACCCATGTCCTTCATATCCTTGATCACCAATGTCCTTGATAACTAATTTTATTGCAAATATATTTTATTAAAAATGATGTTACAAGAGCAATGTTTTTTCTTATTAGCAAAAACTAATATAGATTGTAATTCAACTAGACAAAGAATAAACTTTATAACAGAAAAATAAATAATATATGTACAGGTTAGGTAAGGTTTGTTAGGAAAAAGACATGTGTATCATAACATGGGTCTTAGTCATATGATGACCCACAGCTGGAGCTTTTAGTTATCTGACCAAGGCCTTATACTAGCTTATTAGTCCACCCCTTTAGAAATTATGGTTGATTGTATCCATTTGGTTAGAGCTACCAAGCCTGTACCATCACTTGGAAACAAACCAAGGGAAGTAACAAAGTATTCAACCTGTTCTCTCTTAGGTAAAGAAGACTGGACCTTCAAGATATTGGAAAGCTTGACACACTAGGACACTAAGAACTATTTGAAGTGCTGAATGAGTTCATAACTCAAAACATTGGAATGAAACTGTGAGGCAGAAGCTGCAACAAGAATGTATACAAGCATAATTATAGAATGGAATAAATTATCTGCTAAGGTTGTAAACGCGAAGACAACTCATTCAAAAACCAACCGAACAAATATTTTGCAAGTACATACAGGATTCAACTATGCTGGAGCAATCGTAAGTCAACAAGGTGACAAAAAGGTGATCTGGTTAAAAGTAGTAGAGTAGGTGGTTGTGTTTTTATAACAGAAGTGGTAGTAACCTGCAGTAGAACTACTGATACACAGATCTGTGAGTGGCAGTGGAGTAACACCAGTAGTTAAGACAGAAATAGTACTAATTAATTAGAGGTAATTGTAGCCCATGCCTTCCATTCATTTCTATGTTTCCTGCCAATTTTATGCCTTTTTTCAATGTAGTATATATTTTTCTCCATTTTGATATTAGAAATACCCAGAGGTGTCTTGTGCAACTAGATAATTCATGATAGTCTTACTCTAGATATAGATAGGCTTGGTGTGGGCTAATTCCTCTGCTACTTTTATTTTCCAAGTACTCTCATCTGCACTTAAAAAACTTGTAATTAAATTTAGAAAAGGTTCAAAGAAGAGCTACAAAATAATTACCATAATTAAAATGTATGAGATATGATGAAAGGCACTACAGATATCTGTGCTGGCTATTAAGAGGAAAAGAGGACACATGATAACCATACATAAGGCCATGAAAGTACATGAAGATTAGATTTCTTACTACATGCAGCAGATAACAGAAGGCCACAGTTGTAAATTGAGGAAAAAGTGGAGCCAAAGGGATATCAGAAAATTTGTGTGTGCAAAGTAGTAGACCAATGGAATGAATTAAGAGGAAGTATTAAGCACTACAGCCATTAGAATTTTAAAAAATTTATATGCTGAACAAATTCTTGAACATGACTGAATTATTTAGAACCCGACAGAGGGAGCTAAAAGTAATTAATAGCACTTAAATAAATCCAAAATACATGTACATATATGCAAATTCCAGGGCAAAAATCATATCCAGCATGGGGCTCTTGCTCAAATAATATAAAACTTATACTAATGATAGCAAAGAAATGTGAAATACTGAAGACTCAACATGAACAAGACTCAAACCTCGTCAGCATCTCCAAAATTTCCGACACTTTAACTTTAAAAATCCATTAACAGCATGCCCATGCACTCTGTCCCAGGCCCAGTCTCATGAAACTCGTCTTCATTAAGAACTGCAAGAAGCCCCTATCGTGTGCCTTAAATATTCTGTGGAGAGAGAGGAAGAGCCTAGATATAAGGGTCATCCCACAGTCATTAAAAACAGTCTGGTTGAACAAGCAGGCACAAGATGAGCTTGGCCAAATGCCAGGCTCAGAGAGTAGAAAAACTCATCAAAAGTATACAGAGGTATTACTGCATACAATATTACTGTAAAGGTTTATGACTCATGAAGCTCATTCTTCACTTTGGAAAGTGACGATGGAAAGTGTTGACCACCATAAAAGCACTGACCTAAGCCTGTAGGATTATACAGGACTTTGGTTATGGTAATTTTATTTTAGGGGTGAATTAAACCCATAGGGGTCATACCATGCATCTGAGGAATGGGAGACAGATTCAGTACAAGGACAGGTAGGGTAGTCCCCAACTCTTTGGATCAAAAAGCCCATTACCATTATCAAGGTTGAAGAGTCCAATTCCTTGGGTCAAGAACTCTTAAAACATAAAAGCACTCTCTTGAGGGACCATGCAGTATCACTCTCATAGGAGGGAGTACCAAACCTAAATTAGGAACCATACAGCACGGAGTTACTACAAAGGTGAGAGACTGCCAGTTCCTTGGATTAAAAGCCATTCACTATCAAAGCATCTCCAAAGTTGAAATGAAAATTCTTTGGATCAATAACCCTTCACAGAGCTGTATAGCCCTTGTGGCTTAGCGCTTCTTTTTGATTATAATAATAATAATAACCCTTCACTATTTAGTTGGCAGTCACATTAGGGATGTATGAATATTACACTCAAGATTAAATGCTAAACCCACAAGAGTCGTACAGCAATTAGGGATGTACAAAGTCTATACAAATAGCTAACATTAGATCATGTTTCTTTCTTTGATGCAGTGCATCTTCAGTATTGTCATCTATCAAACAAGAGGATATTACAATTCAATGATCAGAGCAATTTTATTTACACTAGACTGATTTACAAAACACCATAATACCAATGCAAATATTTACAAAATAATCAACTTTTTGTTTATTAATTACAGGTATATATTACATGTATTTATAACAAGTTATTCACAACACAAGTTTTGAGACCAAAAATAAAGAGCATAATTTATGTTCTTTCCCTTCTCAGCTTTGTGAAAAACAAGCTCAGTTTTCATTTTGTGATACAAGAACAAATTAAAATGTGGCTTGTGTATTGTCTTTGGCATTATTTTATATTACCATATATATTTTGTATATTATATATATATATATACGTACACACACACATCCTCTTATTCACTTTTCGCTTTTCTTCTTTTTATCTTTTTTCTTCTTCTTCTTTTTATCCTTCTTTTTCTTCTTATGTTTACTTTTTGATTCAGCTTCACTGGAATCACTGTCTGCTGCTTTCTTCTTCTTCTTCCTTTTCTTTTTCTTTTTCTTTATAATCTCCTCCTCTTCACTGCTGCTGCTACTCGAAGAAGTACTGCTGTTACTAGAGCTAGAACTTGAAGATCTCTTCCTTTTCTTCCGTTTTTTGCTCTTCTCCTTTCCTTTAATTTCCTTCAACAGCTGATTTTCCTGGATGGGTGTAGGAACACGAATTGGTGAATACCTCAGTTTCTTTTCTTCTGGTAGTAGCGGTTCATTTTCTGCTACACCAGCCTCCATCATTTGTTGGGGATTCTCAGTCAGGAGTTCAGCAGCATGGATGCCTTCACTTGATGTATCTGTGTGAATTTCTCCCTCCTCTAGTTCTTCTGGGTCTTTAACAACTGCTGGTGGACCCATTGAAATGCTATCTACATTTTCTTCGTGAATGGGCTTCGTATTTTCTTCTCTAGTTTCACACTTTTCTACTACATCTGATTCAATTTCTTGAGCAGGTGCCACTGATTCTCTATTACATTCAGTAGCTTCAGTTTCAACTTTAACAATCAAATTATTTTCATCTTTGTGCTGTTCAGCTGTAGGAATGTTCTCTTCTGTTTTTAATCTCTTTAATTCTGATTCATCAGAAGAGGGTAGTACATGTATTCTTTTCAGTCCCTTCTGGTCATTACCATCATTTATATTTTCCATGGTATTCTCTAAAGTTGAGTCTCTATTCTCTTTAGGTTCTTCACAAAGGCTTGTCTGGTTTTCAAGTACAGGAGATCTGCTTTTTTGATGTTTCAGTGAAACAATATTTTGACTAGAACTGATATTCTTTTCTTCAACAAATTGAGATTTGTCTTCCTTCTCACTTTTTCTCCTACCCTTGCTTAAGCTGTGTGTCTCACTAGGACTAGGAGACCTCTTACCTGGTCTTGAATGCCTCTCAGACTTGGCCTCATTCTCAAAAATGCGCTTTGATTTCAAACTAGGTCTGCGTTCATCCACTCTCTCTGGACTTGAAGGCGCAGATCTTCCAATCCTTGGGCGACCAATCTGGGACTCAGTTTTTGAAGATATAGTTATCTGAATTGATGGTCCTCGTCTTTTTGCCTCTCTTAACTCTGTGCGATCCCAATCTGGTGTTGGACTTCTATCATCAATTTCTTTCTGTTTTTGGGTGTCTAGAAACACTTTTCTAGAGACTAGCCCTCGCCCAGAAAATATAGCATTTTCTGCTCGTTTTATTATGTCAACAGTGACCTTCCTTTCTTCCTCGGGTGCCTTCTTTTCAACTAAACCTTTGGGCGTGACTGGCAATTCATCCTCTCTCTCCCATTTGGACAACTGGGGAAGAGGCAGTGGTGTAGAAATTTCTTTTGCCATTTCCTCACTTTGTGGAGTATCATCATACTGGTTTGTATCACAGTTTTTCTCTGCAGAAGGTGACATATGATTTTCAGGCATTCCTGAAAATGGTTCACCTTCTGAATCAGGTAATTTTGTAATCCCTTCCAAAGACTGAGTTTCATCCTCTAATTCTTTATTATTCTCATTTCCATGACTTTTCACCTTCTTCTTCTTATCCCTTTTCCTTTTCTTTTTCTTGTCTTCTGCCTCATCCCCAGATAATTCTGCCTGAGATGCTTCAGTTGATGCCTGAGAGGCTCTACGTTTTTCTTTTTTCTTTTTCTTTTTATCATGTTTCTTCTTCTCTGCTTTGCAATTCTCTGCATCTTTGCCACCACTTTCTTTCTCTTTATTACCCAGACTCTCTGATCTCTCCTCTTTTTGTTTAGTCTTTTTCTTTTCTTCTTTTTCATCATTTAAATGGTTTCTGTTTCTTTCATCCTTTTCTTGTGATCGTCCTTTGTGCCTCTCACTTCCTCCTTTATCTATTTCCTTCTCTCTCTCCAGTCTCGAGTCACTTCTGTCCCATCTAGTGTTACGAACTGTTCTTTCTCCTTCCCTGTCTCTTCTACTTTCCCTCTCTCTTCTGTTATCATCTTTACTAAGTCTGTCTTCAACCCTCTCTTTTCTTTCATGATCTTTGTCTCCCTTTTGCAGATCTTTCTCTCTTCTGTCAGTTTCTCTCTCTTTCCTATCAGTGTCTCTCTCCTTTCTATCAGTCTCTCTCTCTTTTCTATCAGTGTCCTTTTCTCTTCTATCTACATCTCTCTCTCTTCTGTCTAAATCTCGAGATCTTCTGTCATAATCTCTCTCTCTCTCTCTTCTATCACCAGCTTCCCTCTCTCTTTTATAGTTTTCTTTTCTATCACCATCTCTTTCTCTTCTATCATTATCTCTCTCTCTTCTTTCTATATCCCTTTCTCTTCTGTCTCTTATAGGTGATTTTTTATAGCTTTTTCCAGGAGAATCATGTGATTTACTTCTAAATGCTTCATCTTGAGGAGTTAACTCAAGGTGACGAGATCCAGATTTATACTTCCCATCTCGCTCACGTTCTTCAACCCTCTTTGTGTCATGGCGCCCAAGCTTTCCATCATCTACTTCCTTTCTGGATATTTCAGGATTTCTCCTTGTATCAGTTTCTTTTCTAGTGCTATCATCTCTTCTTGCTTCTCCCTCTTTCCTTGGGGCGGGGAATCTCTTATAGTCATCATACCTGTCTGTTTCATCAGGATCATTCCTTGTATCAACGTGGCCTCTTCTGCTCTCAAAATGCCTACGCTTGTCATCCTCATCATCTAGCCTTTTCCTGCTATCTCCATCAGAATATCTTCGCCATTCTTCTTCTTCAAAACCTTTGCGACCAGGGTCGTCATCATGCCTCCTGGCACCTTCACTCACTTCCCTGTCTCGCCTTGCTCTTGTATCTTCAAAATCTCTAGCAGGGTCTCGTAAATCTCCAAAACGTCTTCTATCTCCTTCTGGAAGCCTTCCACCATTTCTTCCAATATCTAAATCATAAGTTCGCCTATTATCATCTCTTTCCCAAGGGGAAACTCCTAACTGAGGTCTTCGATCTTCACGGGGTGGCTGGGTTCTCTCAAAGGGATGTCTTGGGTCTGGATTATGCTGATCGTAACGAAACTCTTCACCCTGCCGAAAACCTCCACGATCTCTACCGCGGCGACCTCTACCACGGCCTCTGGTGTCTTGGTAGTCGGGTCTGAAGTTGTCATGTCCTGGAAGGTCATACCTTAAAGGAAAAAGAAAATATTTTAAATTAACATCAAATTAATATTCTGCAACAGGTAATAAAATTTGGTACATGTACCTCTAGTTAATGTTGAACTTGAGGTTAAGTGATTTTTAAGTTAGATAACTTTTTTGTCTTGAAGAAAACTATCCTCATAGAGAAACAATGTATACGTACTTGCCTAATAATACTTTAATTTGCATAAATGATTTGTCAGGAGAAAACACAGTATGTTTAGTGATCATGGAAACATAAGCAAAAGTAAAAATCAAAATGACTAAATTTCTTGTAAGATTTAGATAAATTCAGAATGTAGGGACAAATGGATCATGAATTTAAATTAACACAATCCTTATCTGCAGATAAAGCCAAAGCAATTAGAATACTGTACAAACAGATATGAATAAAATGAGGCTTCAAGCAAACACGGAAAGATTTTGGGAAAGCTCAGATAAATGGCTTTTCCCACTAAAAGTGTTTTCCAAAATTACAACTTGTCATAACTGTCATTTCCAACCTACCTTGGAATGGGATCCCAGTGAGCAACACCAACATGGTAAGGCTGGAACTCTTCTGGTCCCGGGTTCATGTGGTTAACCGGATACCTTTCGTATTCTCTAACAGGTCCATAGTCTACCACTGGCCTGTAATGAACAAAACTACATTAGTGACTAAAAGTAAATATCTTAGCCGATAGAGCTATAAAATGGTATTCAGTTTGCAAAACTTTACAAGGAGATACAGTGGAAGCAGACTCCACAATAAGTTCCAGTATAAATATAACAAAACTAATTAAACTAAAAAAGACCTATTAATAAAAAATTAGTGGTGAGCCTCAAGACCTGAATTATTATTATTATTACAATCATGGGGAAGCACTGAACCAGCATGGGTCATACACCACCTAGACCCTCCCCCCCTCAAGTGCTTTATGCACTGGCCTGAAGTTTTAGGACTTTTATTTGCCATGGGGTCAAACCCCAAACTCTACCCGTTCCATAGTTTGTTTGCCATTGTATTATTATGATTTTGCAAGCCAAACAGGTAATTACCGTAATGGTGACCGCGGATCTGGAAGTAGTGGTCGCACCTGAAGGGGAGATGACTTCATCCGTCGGCATGGGCTGGGTGTTCTGAAAATTTTTAATAATAATTAGATATGATTTGAATGCAACTGGGTGACAAATAATTTTTCTTATTTTTTCTTATTAATAACCACAAGAATCTCGATCCACCCTCTTTCTTCCTCACTCCAATTACCTCCTTCCTCCCCTTTATATCTAACTGCCACTGAGCCCTCTCGCCTACAATGAATACATAACATATAAATAAAACTCTCTAGATGAAATAAACTTATGATTAAGTAAATCCTTTCAACTGATAAAATAAATGAGAGCTTACTGAGACTAATTCAGAGCACATAAAAATAATAAATTTTTACACTTACTTGAAATTACAAATGTTTACAAAAACTACTTTAAAATACTTTTTAACACACCAGCCATCTTCCACCGAGGTAGCAAGACCTTTCACCCAATCACTGTCTTACCCAAAACAAGTTGACATGATTATTCAGATGGCACTCCAAACTGCAACATCCTCAGCCCTCCTTGAGAATGCAAGCACTGTGCTTTCACCACCAGGACTCAAGTTTGGCTAACTGGTTTCTCCTGAATCCCTCAGGTCACAAATACCACTTGCTTCCACTTACTCCAATCTAATATGCTCAAGTAAGGCCATTGGGTGTCCAAGCCCCCAGCACTTGAAATCTCTTTTACCCCCTCCCTTCAACCCTTCCTGGGACAACTCTTATGTACACCAACAAAAAAATAACTATGCAAATGGATAAAAATTTGCATATGGTAAGGGATAGGTATACAGCAATATTCCTTAGTGTCACAAGATTAGTATTTCTTGCAGTCAATGTATACATATTTAACATTGTTGCTGCTCTTGAACATGTATCAAAACCACAATATTAAAAAACAGTGATCCATTCACATTAAAGTGTTTTAAAAGCGGCAGAATTTTTTTTTTTCAAGATGTCGGCTGTCTCCCACCGAGGCAAGGTGACCCAAAAAAGAAAGAAATACTTTCACCATCATTCATACATAATCACTGTCTTTGCAGAGGCACCCAGATAATTCAACAGCAGATTCTCCAAAAAATTCAACAGTTGCTATACCTGATATTTGTCAAATAAAATACGTACTGTACATTTCATCTACAATTTTTAAGATTTAGCAATAAGCCTTTAACTTGCCTGCTTAAAGACAATGAATGGTTTGACACTGAACGTTCTCTGGTATATGAAGGTGATCGCTGCGACCGAAAAGATCCCAGTCCTCTGGGTGGTGTATGACTCCATCGGTGTCTTGCCGGGGATCGAGAAGACCTACCGCCAGAACCAATTACCCGACTTCTAGATCGCGAACGAGAGCGGGAACGTGACCAAGATCGACGAGGAGAGCGTGACCTTAATCTAGAATGGTAACGATGTGGAGGAGACCTGAACAGATAAAAAGGCAATCACAGCAATATAGTTAATTTTACATAATTGACAACTCAGAACTTGACACATGCTGAAACATTACAATAACACAATCTTTCAAATCCCATCTACCTCATGAAGAAAATAATAATCTAGACTGGCAAAACTCATTATAAAGACTAAAATATAAAAAAAAGACCACCAATATCAGACCTTAATATGCATTACTGATAGTTAATATGATAAAAGCAGGAGGATTTAAACGACAATGAATTGCAATAATAATTAATATTAAACCTTCACTTGTCTCATATGCAGATCTTAGTTATTGACACCAAGGTCACTTATGTAGGTTTATGTTTTGAGCTTTGGTCCCTTAAATAAGCCATGAGCAGTAAATTTTGACTTAGACATGACAGAATGAGTCTGTGTGGTAAGCATGCACAGTATAAAAAAAAGTCCTGCTTCAAGGACTGCCTGATGGGAAAAGCAAATCTCTGGCAGTGTGTTTGGTTTAAAATAGTGAATTTGAGGTGTGTTCTAGGATGGTTTTTATGGTTTAATTGGTTGTTTCTTGGTATCAATTGAAAGAATGGAAGACATACTACTTAAATAGTTGGTTGGTTTAACACTGAAGTAGCTTGAAATAGGACTCAAAGCAGTAGAATTATTGAATTTTTGATGATTTTCCTGAGGACAGACAAAGCCACTCTACATCTCTCGGTCTGTTTTATGGGTTTTTACCAGGTCTGCTTCAATTATTGGGGTGCCATAAGACATGACCAATCGTTCCTGGTTATATTTTATTATCCGAGATATAGGGTAAATCTTTGATTTTTTGTGTGATGAATGAAGGACAAGCGCAAACAGGAGAGATGTGAGGATGTGATTAATGAATAGAGGAAATGTTGCTTTAGTGCCTGGAATACCTAGTGTTTATTTTGGACTTTTATTTTTAAAATGGAATCTTTTAAATTTTCTGTTGAATAGGCAGCTTCTTGTGCTCAATCAATAGAATGGAAAACATACAGTACTAGCAAAATAGCTAAGAACTGGTCAAACGAACAATGAAATTGGCTTAAAAAAGACTCAGAGTAGAGAAAATCCCAGACTACTAACTTTACACCCATGTAATTCCATAAGTTTTCCATCAAATTTCATAGTTTTGGTGTCATTACCTTCAGAAAAAGATTAAATCATTTCATACAATTTTTTTTTGTGTGTGGAAGGGGGGGGGGGGTGATGGTAACATTGTCAGTACTTCTAATTTCAAGGCTTTTGACAGTGAAGGATTGCTTACTGCAATTACATAAATTAATTAATGATAAAATTTTAAGCAGAACAAGCAAAGAAAATCTGCTTCCCAGCTTCATGAAATAAACAAGAACTCATTATGAAATGATACAAGCATATTACAAGAGCAGAAATGTTAATAACTTTGGCGACATGCAAACTTTATTGAAGACAAAGTGAATATAAGCCTTTGTAATGAGTTTAATGTAGCAGTCTATGAGGAAAACAAAAAAGAGCAAGAAAAGCAATGGAAAACTTTATCTAAGAAAAGGCTGAGACAAGCTGAATGTGATAGAGTTATCAGATGAATGGTCATCAAAGTTGGAGATGAAATTAAAAAAAAAAAAAAAAAGAAAGCAGAGCTAAAAATGTAAATCACTCAAGGCAAGACAGAACTAAGACCGACATTTGATTAATGTAAATTTTCTTACCTGGAACGCGATCTAGACCTGCTCATGCGAAACCTGCGAGCCCGTTCATCCTTTTCTCGCAGGTGCTTGTTGAAGAGAGTCAGTGGATCATCTATTGCTCTGCAAAAGAATCATAAGAAAATTTAACATTATAATTCCATAAAAATATAACTCAAAAGATGGACTAACAAGTACAAATTATTTTTGAATACTACATTGAGTCATCAGTGCTATATGGCTGTACTGATGACTCGATGCAAACTCATCAAAGAGTATTTGGGGGTTCTCTGATACAAGTGTGTTGATCAAAGGTACATCCAGGAACCCTATCCAATAAAACACTTGCCTATTATTTTCCACTTTTTTTTTTTTTTACCTTAACAGCCATCTTTGGCAAAGACATGGTGACCCAAAAAGAAAGAAAAAAAAAATTCACTATCACTTATTCAATACTGTCTTGCCAGAAATGTGCATACTTCACAATTCAAATGACCCTTCATACTGCAAGATTCCCACCCCTAAGTCAGTGTGCAGGAACTGTACTTCACACCTCCAGGACTTAAGTCTGGCTAACCATTTCCTGAATCCTACTATTAAATATTATCTAATTCACACTCCAACACTATGTGAAGCCATAAAAGCTTCTCATCTCCATTCACTCTGATTTACATGTTCATACAAGCCTACTGGATGCACGAGCCCCTAGCACTCCTTCTCTGCCCCTCCTTCCACCCCAAATTTATAAACCCCATTGGTCATCTTATTCTGCTTAATCATCTCTAAATGTCCTAATCACCTAAATCACCACCCCTTCTGAGTTCTGTAAATTATATCTTTGGTATAATATAGGTTTTATAAATAACTCTCAAAACAAAAAATAACAAGCCAATAATGATATTCTTCAAGTCACTTGATCTCTCTAGAATGTAGTATTACTGCATACTAATGGTCCCCTCCAAGGCAGGCAAAACTGCAAATCTGGAAAATGTACAGAGTACTTTCACAAACTGTATAACTCAGTAAAGCATCTAAATTACTGGAAGAGCTTGAAATCCCTCAAACAGTACTTCTTAGAATGTAGGCATGAAAGATACATCATAATCTACACCTGGAAGATACTGGAGGGATTGGTCCCAAATCTACACACCAAAATCACTACATATGATAACGATTGACTTAGCAGACAGTACAGGATACCTCAGGCGAAAAGCAGGTAAGCAATGAGTACACAAAGAGAACTCAGTAAGTGTAAAGGGACCCCAACTCTTCAACACCCTTCCTTCATTCTTAAATGGGATTACAAATAAACCCCTGTCTTCAGGAGGGAACAACAAATTCTTTAAATCAATTCCTGATCAGCTGAACTGTGGTGCATATGCTGGATTATGGGCAGCAAATAACAACAGTTTGGTTGATCGGGCCAGCAACCAGAAAACCTATTCCGGGACTGAGCTGTTGGGGTGGTGACCTCCAGAAGCAACTACAGGTAACCAAACTGTCTCCTAATTTCTATACCCCAAATTCTATGCATTCTATGCATAATATTCACACACCACATTGCTCTCCAACAAAACACAGGTGTATCTACTTTCTTCACCTTCCTTCTTGCTGCAACATTTAAAACCATGCCTCACACCCATATAAAAGTGTTATTATCAAGAGCTGCCAAGAAACATGTGAAAATGGTGTAAACACAAAACAAGAACAACATTTATTTGAACACATTTTGCTAAGGACAAGAAAAGTTACAAAAGAGTGCTTATGAAAAAGTATTATCTTCATGTGACATTTTATTTTACAGGAAATGTTTGGCTTTTTTTTTAAAGACCTTCTAAAATAATTATGATTCTTGTGTCATGATATTCATGGTGTTTCACATCAATCAAATTTATTACCAAAATTAGTGTTTACTTTAAATTTGTTCATAAAATACCAAAATAAAGTATTGTATTCTTCAAAGAAAACCGAGATAACTAGAATGTGTATCACCATAATAATTTATAAAAAATTTATTAGAAATATTCAGCTATAATATAATTGCTTGTATTTCAAGTGTTCTTATATTAACATGGCAAGTGTAACTTACTCCTTGAATGGTAGAACATGTCCTGGGTAACCTGTTACTGGATTACCAAACACTGGTGGTGGGATTCTGTAATGATTTTTTTGTATTACAAAATTTGTAGAAATATATAAAACAAATTTTTTTTAAATATTAACATTTGTATATTAAATGAAAAACATTTTTCTTCTTCATATTTCTGTACTGAACACAAGAAGAAAAGAAATAAATTTCAAGAGGACTGATGACAGAGAAATGCAGGTCCATAGAAAATTTATTGATGACATTTTGTCCACGCAGTAAGTTTTGTAGTCACACACAGATAAACTTGGAAGGAAAGGGGACGGACGGGTGTGCGTGCTCGTGCGCATGCGCACACACACACAAAGTAATAGCAAGTTGTGGTAAGGCAATTAGAAAGAGAAGAATAAGCAAGACATCAAGAGACCTGAAAAAAAAAAAAAACACATTTCAGAGTGTCAATGTGCTGGCAGAATGGAAAACTTAAACAATACCTGTGTAATCACCAAACTTCACACAATTATTTGATGAATAAGAATGGTAAATAATTGTCAAGGGTAACAAGACTCAGAAGAGATGTTGTCTCAAATCAGCCTTCATCAATATTTCTAACAATTTTAGCCAGAATAGCAGCTTCTACAACTTAGCAGAACCTCTGGCCAGAAAACTCTTAGGATAGCTGGGAAGCAACATGACTGGACACGAATCTCTCCATTCTTTACCTTATCTCAACTTGCTATTATATATACACCCTCCCTCCTCTTCCAGGTTTGTCTTTTTTTGTGAGTTGATAAGACTCCCTGAGTGGGTAAAATGCCACCATAAACAAAGATTCAATTTAACTACGTATCTCTTCATCATCACATCAGAATCTCATGCTATCATAAATTTAATAAATATATAAATGAGGTGTAAGCAAAAGCACTGCAAAAGCTATACATCATCATGTAACAATGACACCATTACAAAACAAGAGAGCTTTAGGATACAATTAAGAAAAAGCTTATAAGGTAGTGTAACAAACATCATCTATTGGAGAACTGTGTTATCCTTTCCTCCACTATTTTGTTATCACTGGCTTTTTACAAAATACAGCAAACTTAATGGGGTGCTGCATTTTTTTTATATATCTTTAATTATATCTTCTTTTTTTTATTATAATAATAATAATAATTAATTATATCTTCTCAATCAACTTCCCTCTAAAAGGAAAGGCAACAACATAAGCCTGTAACCTGCACTTTTTTAAATATTAACATATTCATTTAAGTGCATGTTATTTTCCTGTTGTATGTCTTGCTGCATTTATATAAAATAAATTATTATGTGAATAATACTAATACATAATTGAGATGAAGAGTACACTAATATTAAAATGGGATCAAAACAAAGTAACAATTCACATTGGCCACTGCTTGTTTTAAAACTTATGTTAATCTAAAGATTTAGACTGGTGAGATTGGAGTGAGGGCCACATACCACTCTCATCCCACCGAGTTATGTAATGTTACATTCGCTAAATCTAATCACACACTGTATTTGCTGTGTAAATAAGTACACTCCCAATGTCTCACATTCAATTAACCTTTGTAAAGCAGGAATTACTAGTACAACAGAGATCTTATGTAGTGAAGACCCTGGCCATTCTCAAAATCAAATACGGTATTTCACTTATCAGCATATGTCCAGGAAGAAACATATGTAGAGTAAAGCTAACACAGTAGCTCACTCTATTCAAGATTGGCAGGCTGAGGCAATATAGTGCAAACATTTTTGATGCACCACATTAAAAGATATTTAGTATACAGTGGACCCCCGGTTATCGGCAGGTTCTGTTATTGGCCGTTTTTTCGGCGCCCGGTTATTGGCTGTTAATTCGGTGATCGGCCATTTGGGACGCGTCCATCCGCTGGCTGGGGCCACTTGCGCGTCAGTTTGGCTTTGTCTCTCAGTGACTGAGGAAGCTTCTGCTTATACATCCAAACATTTCGCTTGTTTTCCATTGTTTTTAGTGTTTTTTTTGCAGTGCAACCGTGAAATAAGTAACATGGCTCCAAAGAAAGTTCCTGTGGTAAAAAAAGTAAGAAACACCATGGAATTTAAGCGTGAAGCGATAGAAAAGTTTGAGAGTTGTATGAAGGTGGTAGAACTTGCCAGGATGTACAGCAAGAAAAATCGACAATTACATCCCATCTGGCAATAGGAAAAGGGAACAAATCAAAGATGCAAATGTTGCAAAAGGAGTAACTTTTCTAACTAAACAAAGGGCCACCAAAATGGAAGAGATGGAAGTTATTATTATTGTGGATTAAGGAAAATGAATTAGTGGGAGACAGTGTTGTGAAGTCTATCAATGGTTGAGAGACAAGGCAGTTGATGAGGATCTGCAAGAAAATGCCTGGAAAAAGTGCTGCATTTTGGGGAATTTAGGGGCAGCAAAGGATGGCTTGATAGATTTAGAAGGTAGTGGCATACACAGTGTTGTAAGGCAGGGTTTGAGGCAGCAAGTTTGAAAAACGGGGCGGCTGAAAAATTAAATGCAGGAATTTAGGGGGTACAATAGAGACGAAGGATAAACCCCAACAAAGTGTTCAATTGTGAGGGAAAAGGCCTGTTTGGGAAAGAAAAATGCCAAAGGACCATTACCTAGGGGGAAAAAAGGCACTGCCAGGACAAACCCTAGGGAAAGACGGGGCTTACTTTTTGGGTTGTGTGGTAATGCTAGTGGTGTTTTCAAGTGAGCCTTTCTCGTGTTCACTCAGAAAATCCCAGTGTCAGAAAACCAGTCATGAAAATTTGATTGTGTGTGATGTGAAGCCAAACCCCATAAGGTTTTGGGTCACAAGGCCCAAATTTTCAAGGAGTGGGTTAATGATGTGTTGGCCCAAGTGTGAAAAAAAAACCTCCTGGAAAGAAAATTGCCACTCAAGTGCTTCCTTTTAAACGTGACAATGTCCTGCACACCCTCCAGACTTGCAAGACCAAGTGTTTAGGGACTTCAGTTTCATCACAGTGAAGTTCTTGCCTCCTAACACCACTCCTCTCCTCCAGCCCATGGACCAGCAGGTCATTTCTAACTTCAAAAAACTCGACACAAAAGCAGTGTTTCAAAAGTGTTTTGAAGTGACGTGGGGACACTCGTTGACCCAAAGAGAGTTTTGGAGGAAATCACTTCACTATCCTCCATTGCATAAGCCTTATTGGTAAGGCTTGGGAGGGAGTGACTTCCAGGACTTTGAACTCTGCTTGGAGAAAACTGTGGCCAGATTGTGTCAAGAGAGGGATTTGAAGGGTTTTTGAGGTGACCTGACCCTGTGGACTCTATAGTGGCACTGGGGAAGTCCCTGGGGTTGGAGGTGAGTGGCGAGGATGTGGAAGAGTTGGTGGAGGACCACAGGGAAGAGCTAACCACTGAAGAGTTGCAAGAGCTTCAACTTGAACAGCAACAGACTGCAGCTGAGGAACATGCTTCAGAGGAGGAGGAAGAGGGAGTGAAGGAGGTGGACTAGGGTGCACCACCCTGACAAAGCTGAAACAAGCCATATCTTCAACATGTTTAGTGACAAAACTCTGTCCCACTTCAGGGAAATCTTAAAGAGACACCAGAAACAGAGCACTCTGGACAGTTATTTTGTGAGACAGGGGTCCAGTGACTCTCAAACTGGTCCTAGTGGCATTAAAAGACTAAGAAAGGAAGTAACCCCAGAGAAGGCTTTGCTACCTAGTCTTTATGGAGGGGGATTTCCCTTCCAAACACTAACTCCTCCCTCTTTCCTCTTCCCTATCTTCTAGAAGCCAGCATTAGCCTTCAATAAAGGTATGTAATACTTACATAATTGTTAACAAAATTACTTTTTTTTGTGAATATTTTTGTCTGGAATGGATTAATTGTATTTCCATTAATTCTTATGGGAAATATCAATTTGGTTTTCGGCCATTTCGGTCATCGGCCAACCTTCTGGAACGGCTTACAGCCGATAACCAGGGGTCCATTGTACAAGCAAAATACAAAATATAATCCACAATGATTTATGTGGTACACTAAAATTATTTATAAATTTCCAAGTTCAAAAGGCAATTTAAATGAGTAACTTAAGGATTACAAAAAAATTAATAAGATGAACAAATGACTATTACTACTGTTAATTTTAATAAATACATGAAGATTACAAATTATGGTTGGCTAGCCAATATTTAAAATATCTTGTACACAATGCTATAGTAGAGAACTACCAAATTTTATGAACATCAGGTGAACCAATTTTAGTAAAACAAAATGCAATGAAAAGTTATTCATCTGTTCAGCTTCATAAAAAAAATACATTCTGCACAACGGGAGCAAGGGGCTCGTAACCCCTTCTCCTGTATAAATCACTAAATAAAAAAGATCTTTTAACTTTTTTTTTTCAGGTCACCCTGCCTCAGTGGGTGATAACCAGTGTTTTAAAAAAAAAAAAAAAACATTCTGCACAAGTTTAGAACAGGAATAATGATGCAGTTACAAAAAAAAAAAAAAAAAAAAAAAAAGAAGAAAGCAAGCTGAGCCAGTTTTAGCTAAGTTGTATGTATAGAAAGAATCTTCAGTGTAGCAATTTATTTACTGAATCATGATGGACTGTAGAGGGGGAGACTTATTTACATAGAAACAATAGTATGTACTACTGTGTTCATAACACAGTGCTCAAGAAAGAAATGAAAAGAAAGAAAAATCAGCTGCCAAAATTTATGCTAAAAAATTAACACTAGTTTTAAAGATAATTTAAAATTTGAAGTAGACACCTATTGCAAAAAATATATCTGAAGTCTAAAATTAAATTTCATAAAATTTCTTATGCATGCTTATTTCATGGTTCTATATTTTAAAAACAAACTTTAAACATATTATATGCCCTCAGCATGGTGCTGTGTGTGTGTGGTGTGTGTTGTGTGTGGTTTTGTGTGTTGTGTGTGTGTGTGTGTGTGTGTGGGTTGTGGGTGTGTGGGGTTGTGTTGTGGTGTGTGTGTTTTTTTGTGTGTTGTGTGTGTGTGTGTGGGGGTGTGTTGTGTGGTGTTGTGTGTGTGTGTGTGTGTGTGTGGGGTGGTGTTTTGTGTGTGTGTGTGTTGTGTGTGTGTGTGTTTTGTGTGTGTTGTGTGTGTGTGTGGTGTGTGTGTGTGTGGGGTGTGTGTGTGGGGTGTGTGTGTGTGTGTGTGGTGTGTGTGTTCGTGCGTGCGTGTGTGCGCGTAAAATTCTAAGCAACTTAGACAAAAGCTCTATTGAGATTTTTACCCAATTTTAAAAGCCACTTTACCTTCAAGACAAATAAGCATTTTTAAAATTGCCATAAAGGGGTACACAACAATAATTTTAACAGTATATAATGATCTCAAAGAATATACAGACAAAATTTTTAACAATTCTATTCAATTATTCTTGAACTATCACAAATGAAGGGTAAAAAAATGAATGAAAATTAGCCAAGTGAAATCTTTTCTAAACCCGCAGTTTATACTAAGAACATTTAACAAGCTATCTGGTACTAGGGAGTGTGATTATCAAGCTTGGTACAGATAAAACAAATCATTGCCATATCACATAGGGAAACAAAAAACAAAAAGTCAGAAAAATTTGCTACCCAAATAGACACCAGAGGGTTACTTTTCTTAATATCAATAAGAAGCTAAATATTATATCAAAACAAAAATGTTCAATGTTTCGAGTCAAACTTGAGAGATGTTCTCAAGAGTTTGTCCAGGAAGATGTAGAAAGAAAGATATTAGACTGTAAAACCTGAAGGTGCACTTTTGGCAGGATTGCCTAATGAAATGGGCAAAGCATAACATTTTCACATTTATAGAATAAAACTTGCTATGAATAAAGATAACTAAACCTTTGTAACTAAAAATATGATTCATCAAAATTATTCCAGTTTCTTCTTTATAGTGAAGTTGCATAAAAAAAAAAAATGACCAAGGTGCAGAGACTAGGATTACCATTTACAGATGGAGAGAGATCTTTATGCAACTAAGTTTCACCAGACTATTTACTTTGCATGCTGAAAAGTTAACACTCAAAGAAAAAAACTAACACAGAACATCAAAAAAGTTAAAAAAGTTGTGCACAGAACCAGCGAGCACAACTCACGAGAGGTCAGGGGAGCCTGCATGAAGAGGCCGTGCCGGTGTATGCTGCTCCTGTGCAACCCCAGCATGACCTGATGCCACCACAGAGGTACTGGGCAGTGAAGGCCCCATATTTGGTGGGTATGACCCACTACCCAAGAAATTAACGAGTCAATGCACCTTGCTCTATTATATTTTTATTTATCATAATTAACATTATCTGACAAATGTGCTCAGATATTCAAGACAGTTATTTAAGATAAGTAACTTTATCTTAAATATTTAATAATATTCATTGATGAAGACTAAATAAGCTAGACTGTAAATGGCTAAAAGTGACTATTACCACTGGAAGTAAAGCAGTTCATAAATGTACATAAAGCTTTACTTGAATACAGTAGTGTTGGCTGAATCTCAATATGCACCTGCTATCATGTGCATCTTTCTTTGCATCTTTAAGAACTACAGAAAAAGCAGCTTATGGAATTTTTGCATTTATCCATAAGCTAAACAAAAGAGTAGTGACAATAGTGGCCTGTAAACCCTCTGCACCATACTTCAAACTCCATAAGTATTCACACTTCAATAATTAGTTTCATGTCATTGTAAACTTCAGTTATTAACAATTGTGACTAAAACAAGTTGGTATACATTATAAGAACATACGAGGAAAATAAGAAAACACTTACAAATTATGATTTAAAGCAAAGTCATTTCAATAAAAACAAAACTATTTCAGAGTATTATTTAGACACAAGAGCAACTGTCATTCTATCATGGTACCATATTTTATAAATCCAATTAAATCTCTCTTCATTCTTAACCCTTTCACTGTCTCCCATATATATGTATATATACATTTTTGGGGCAAGTGGCGCTTACATATACTGTTTATATACTTAATTATAGCGGCCTCAAATATGTTGTGAGCGGTAAGTTTTGACCTGTACATGAGGTAATGGGTATATGTGGTGGGTATGGACAGTATAAAAAATATCCTGCCCCTCAGTGCACAATGGGAACAGCTAAATGCTGACCACATATTCAGGTTAAAATAGAGACTATAAGGCACTTTCTAGGGTAGTTTTCATGGCTTTACTGGCTATTTCTTGGAAAGAACTGATAGACTAGAAGGATGCCAGTGAAAGGGAAATGAGCTTGGTCACTTTGGAGACTAGAAGAGGCCTGAAATAGATTTCAAAGTAGCAGGAATATTTGATTTTTTGGTGATTTTCTTGAGGAAGGGAAGAGCCCCTCCCCAACCTCACTCCAGTCTGTTTTATGAATTTTATCAGGTCTGCTTCAATTATTGGGACAGTCTACACAATGACTGATCATTCTTGGTTATATGTGCTTCATTAGCTAAGAAATACGGTAAAGCTTTGATTTCTATGATATTCAAAATACAGGGCAAGAGTTACAAAGGAGAGACCTGCAAACATAATTAATGAGCAAAGGAAAGATTAATTTAGTGACTGGAATGCCTCCAGTGTTTATTTTGAACTCTGTTTTTAAACTGGAATTGGGAAAATTTTGTAAAAAAAATTTGTAAAAATAGACTCTGGGCACTTTATTGCATAGTTCTGTTAACTGAATTGGTAATTTCTTGTGCTCAATTAACAGAACAGAAGAAATATTAACCCTTTCATGGTCGACAGGCCCTCTCCTAAACTTGTTCTCAGGGTTGGAAATTTTTTGAGAGAGAGGGAAAAAAATAAATCTTATGAAATGATAGAGAATCTTTTCCTGATCATAATGACAACAAAAGTATGAAATTTGATGGAAAACTTACGGAATTATGCTCTCGTGAAGTTAGCTCTCTTGATGATGCTTACGCATCTGCGACTTTGCCCAATTTGAGCCCTATTTTTGGCCAATTCCAATGTACCAGTCGACAAAAATCATAACTATTTCACTAGAACTCCATTTTTTCTATCGAAAGTGTACAAGAAACCACCCATTTACCAATTTCAACTATCCAATAAAGTGGTCAGAAATTGGCAATTTTGCCAATTTCACACAAATTTCAAAAGATGCCAGTTTCCAAATAGGGTCCAGAATAAACAAGACAGACATTCCTGGCACTAAAATAAAAAAAAATTTCTGTTCATTAGGCCTCTCTTACATTTCTTTTGCTTTCCACTTTGAATTTTTATTCTCACAAAAAAATAGATTTGTTATGCAGACTACTGCATTAGTGTAGAAATGGTATAAATAATATCAACGCACTTGTGAAAGAATATTAAGACTCACCAGCTGACGTGTATTGGATGCGTGGCATGATTGGTTTACTTCTGAACTTGGCAAAAATTGAACATTTCTGCTAATTTGAACTCAATTTCAAGGTACTTTTCATTGTGAAACCAATCAAAATCATCTCAATTTCTGTAACAGGTCTTCCATTCTATAAAATGAGACCAGGAAAACTAGAATACAACCATAAATAGCATATGAAAATACACTGCAAAGTCGCTGTTTAAAAGCAAAAACATGGTAGGAGTTTTTTTTCTCATTATGCACTGTGTGCTGCAGGATTACATAGACCCATTCTTTCATATATAGGCCTACCAGCTTTCTCTCACTAGATTTGAAGGCGCTAGAATTTATGCATACTAGTACAGCACCAACCCTGAAAGGGTTAACAAAATAACCAGGAATTTGGTCAGTTTTGAGCAATAAAATCAGCCTACAATAGGGCTCAAGTGGGCAAAATTGCAGTGGCATTAAAATGCTTCTGACCTCCAACTTCATGCCTGTGTAGTTAAATAAGTTTTCCTATCAAATTTGTATTTTTGGTGTCATTACCTTCAGATTTTTTTTTTTTTTTTTTTTTTTGAAAATTAAGATACTAATGAGATTTAATTTCATGGTCATGGGTCATGAGAGTTGAAGGGTTAATGGCCTTCCTAGAAGAGATAAATTCAGATAATAATACACATTACAAATATATCTTTTTTAATGTGCAGAGTATATCACTGAAAAAAACATACAACTTACCCTGGTTGAAATGGAACATATGGAGTTGCAGTAACAATCACAGGAGGTACATGGGTTGGTGGACCTGAAAACATTACACATAAATTTTAGGTAACAGAATATGCAAGTCTTACCTTTACACTGTTTCATATTAACTTACATCAGTGTGAAAAACTGTTTTCCATGTAGATCTCACTGTTACAAAGGCACATAAAAAACAAAGACTGATTCCAGTGTTCAATATGAGTGCCAAAAATCCCACTGGCAACCTTTTAATGACTAAAATATGTGGTTTAAAATATGCTGCAATCCACAAGATACATTATTATACTGTATGAATCAGATCGTTTTGGTTAATATAGGTAAATATTTCACTTAGAATAAATGGAGTATGCATTTACCTGTAGCTGCAAATGTTGAAGGTACAGGATAGAAGGGATCCTTGGGGGGTGACTGGACAAAGGCACCAGGTGGAGGTACACGAGGATCAAATGGTACAATATTATCAAACAGATTTCCACTTATGTCTGTGTCTCCTTTCTCAACACTTTTGCTTCTACTTCTGCTTTTGCTTCTACTCTTTATGCTTTCTGTATTAAGCCTATTACTACCCCATGATTCTTCAATTACACTTATAGGATTCTCAACATTCATTTCTGGTTCGTTAGGTAATGCATCGTGAACTATTTCTTTTTCTGTGTCAGTTGATTTTCCATCTTGACTTTTATGAGAATGCCTCCTGTCCTTTCTTTTTCTCCCCTCCTTTCCATCTCTCTCTTCCTCAGATTCATGCCTACTGGCCTTACGTTTGCTCTTCTTCTTTTTGTTTTTTTTGCGTTTCTCTTCTACTTCCATGCCACTCTCCGGTGCAGCCTGTAGCTGCTCTTGTTCTTCCCCCTCATGATGATGCTCATCTTCTTGAGTTTCTTTCAGAGCAATTTCACTGTCTTCTATATTTTCCCCTGTTACTTCTTGAGGAATAATACTTTCCTCTGTCTCCATGTTTTCTTTATCAGAATCTCCTCCTAATTCTCCTTCATTTTCCTTAAGCTCGTGTATACTGTTGGGCGTGGATGGATTTGATGGATGAACTGATCCTATGATTGTTATAGGCTCTGACAGTTTAGTATTTCCTGGGCTTGAAGCTCCAGCAGGGCTCCGAGGTGGTGTAGGAGTGTTACTTGTTTGCACTATATATGGAGGGATGGATGACAAAGGCTCTGCTCCTGTGCCCTTATCCAGTCTTTTATCAATTATATGCCTGAAAAATGACAAATTATTTACATTTATACACTTAAATTTATGTATGTGTAGAGGTAGGAAGGCATGCATGCAAGTATATATACTGCACGAGTGAAAGCTTTTTTTTTTTTAATATGCAGCCCATCTTCCACTGCGGCAGGGTGACCCCAAAAAAGAAATACTCTCACCATTATTCACAATATCACTGTCTTACTAGAAGTTCACAGATATGACAGTTTAGATGTCCCTCTGAACAGCAAACATACCAACCCCCTCCTTTAGAGTGCAGGCACTGTACTTACCACCTCCAGGACTCATGTCCTGCTAACCAGTTTCCCTGAATCCCTTCACACAATATTACCTTACTCACACTCATATTATCTTTGTAATATTTTACATAAAATTTTATTTCTAATTTTGAAATTTAAATGGTTACACAACATATACTGATGCCAATAAAACCATTTATACATACCATCCATTTTCAAACTGGTTAGCCTTTATACGAAGATAGCGATTAGGTATGAGTGTATCTGGACTGATGTCCTCTGCGGAACAGGAAGGACACCTTGCATCTTCAGACTCCAAGAGATGATTGCGAATACCTACAACAAAAAAACAAATTTTAGAATAATGAAATAAAGTTATTACACTTATACCTGTCTGAATTACCTGTGATGACATATAAAATACCTATTTATATACTTTCCTATTTACTTCAATCCAATGTCAGGCACTTAATTTAATGTTAATATTTTAATACACTCATACATAATTTTAATGGATGAAAATTACAGAAAAATATTTTCATGGAAGATGGAAGTGACGGCTATTTCACAGCAGTCAATCAACAGTTAAAGAGATAAGAAAAAGAGCTGGAGCTTAAACATAACCCAAGTAAACAATTAAAAGAGGCAGCTGGGCTAGCCAATTTATTTTATTTGGGGGAAGCGCTAAACCCGTAGGTATCATATAGAGCCTGAGGAATAGGAGGCATTTAGGTCCAATCCATGGAAGGGAAGGCTAAGTCCTGTTCCCTAGATCAAGAGCCTTTCATGAACATGAAAGAGCTAGCCAAGACAGCATCTATCTAGCATTGGTCTTGACCACAATCCTTGAGAACTCTTAAAGTATACTCTAGTCAATTCTGAATACTGTACAAACACACACCTTCAACCCCCTTTCCCTGATAAAAGAAATCAGTTTAAAATCAAAGAACGGAACTACACAGCCAAATGTTAATAAGAAACTGTTTTATGAAAGTACTTACATGTTAATTGAAAGATAATGCATTTGTACTCTCAGATTTTCATTAGAAAAGAAAAATATAAATAAATTAACAAAATTAATAAACAGAAAAAGCCTGATTCATCACAGTCGAGTAATAAGGTTTCACTACAGGGTATGGCAGTAGACTTAGTGGAGATACTAAACTAAAATACATTATTATAGTGCAATACTTATACTTACAGTCATCACAAAATGCAGCAGCACAGCATGGAATGAGAACAGCATCTCTTAATAGCTCTTTGCAAATTGAACAGACAATTTCTTCTGGGGGTGGAGGACGCCCAGGGGGTGGATCCCCTCTTTCTTTATCAGGCTTGCCCCTGTAACACACAAATTAAAATTCCAGTACAGTACAGAATATCACATTTCTGGATGAAAGGAAACCCTATATTGAAAAATATGATCATTACTGACAAATGTGGCAGGAGCAAGAAACCTCTAATTAATATGATTACTGAATTCATGAAAGTAGTGCACCTGTACCTATATGTGGTTAAGAGCATTAGAGATCAACAATTTGATGTTCATTCTTAATACAGAAGTGCCCTGCTTATACAGCAGGTTAGATGCTGGTCTACTACTCTAAAGTGAAACCTGGCCTTTTTTCAATTTCAAATGTATATAAAAGCCTCTTATGTTTACACTATATTAAGTGAGCAATACAGCTAGGCCTAAAAAATGCATATACAGTACACACATAACTTACCTTAAAATATTTTCATACTTAGCTTATAGTGAGTGATAAATATATTTACTGCAGGTAGCCTGAATAAATGAAGAATGGGTAATTGAAAACTGCTGTATTAGCAAAACTATAGAGTGAAGCACTGTAAAATGAGGTCCTCTTGTACTATCTATCTTACTTTTGCAAACACAAGAGAAAAAACTAGAAATAGTACCGAGTGAATAATGGCACAGCAACAAGAGTCAATGACAAAACAGGCATCATTTAACACTTTATGTTTAAATAATATATGTCAGTAGACTGCAAATATATGAATGAATGGAATGAATCTCTCTATCACACACACACACACACACACACACACAAATGGTCACAGAATATACAATGCTGGCACAGAACCTACACCTGAGAAAGCATATTAAAAAAGTGGATAAAGTGTAAAGGTATGCAACAAGACCAGTTCCAGGGCTAAGGAGTATGAGCTATGAAGAGAAGCTAACAGAAATTGACCTAACAACACCAGAGGAAAGAAGGGCCAGGGAAGATATAACAGAAAATACCCAGAGGAATTGATAGGTCAGACGAGGAAAGGCGGGAAACAAGTATTTAGGGGCACAGCTGGAAGTTACACACACAAATGTCAGGAAGTATTTCTTCAGTCTCAGCATGGTCGGGAAGTGAAATGATCTCGATGAAGAAATGGTGGCGGCAGGCTCCATACATGGTTTTAAGAGAAGGTACAATATGGCCTATGAGGCTAGGAGTAAATGAATCTGGCAAGTTGAGAGGTGAGTGCAAATAGGAGCACACATACAAGCACATAGAAGACACAACACATATATATAAAGCCAAGTGTCTATTGACATATGGCCTTGACAAATGGCAACACAATGGAAATAGTGACAAACTTATTGATAACAATATGCCAAGATATGAAACACTCAAAAAATGTTAGGCAGTAATTCCTTTATTTCATTCAACATTTATTATTATTACTGTTCACCAGAAAACACTCAGGCGAGGAAATTTATAATATTTTGACCCTCCTGGATGATTGTGAAGTCATACTGTGAAGCCATATTGTCAATATTATTTTTTTTTTGTTTAGTTCAATGGCTACCTCCAGCCAAGGCAGGATAACCTAAAGAAGAAAACACATTCACCAAAATTCAATCATAATCTTTCCAGAAGTGTGCTGACAGCACAATTCGATTACCCTCTGAATGCCACATTTTTTTTTTTTTTTTATCACACTGGCCGATTCCCACCAAGGCAGGGTGGCCCGAAAAAGAAAAACTTTCACCATCATTCACTCCATCACTGTCTTGCCAGAAGGGTGCTTTACACTACAGTTTTTAAACTGCAACATTAACACCCCTCCTTCAGAGTGCAGGCACTGTACTTCCCATCTCCAGGACTCAAGTCCGGCCTGCCGGTTTCCCTGAACCCCTTCATAAATGTTACTTTGCTCACACTCCAACAGCACGTCAAGTATTAAAAACCATTTGTCTCCATTCACTCCTATCAAACACGCTCACGCATGCCTGCTGGAAGTCCAAGCCCCTCACACACAAAACCTCCTTTACCCCCTCCCTCCAACCTTTCCTAGGCCGACCCATACCCTGCCTTCCTTCCACTACAGACTGATACACTCTTGAAGTCACTCTGTTTCGCTCCATTCTCTCTACATGTCCAACCACCTCAACAACCCTTCTTCAGCCCTCTGGACAACAGTTTTGGTAATCCCGCACCTCCTCCTAACTTCCAAACTATGAATTCTCTGCATTATATTCACACCACACATTGCCCTCAGACATGACATCTCCACTGCCTCCAGCCTTCTCCTCGCTGCAACATTCATCACCCATGCTTCACACCCATATAAGAGCGTTGGTAAAACTATACTCTCATACATTCCCCTCTTTGCCTCCAAGGACAAAGTTCTTTGTCTCCACAGACTCCTAAGTGCACCGCTTACCCTTTTCCCCTCATCAATTCTATGTTCACCTCATCTTTCATAGACCCATCCGCTGACACGTCCACTCCCAAATATCTGAATACATTCACCTCCTCCATACTCTCTCCCTCCAATCTGATATCCAATCTTTCATCACCTAATCTTTTTATCCTCATAACCTTACTCTTTCCTGTATTCACTTTTAATTTTCTTCTTTTGCACACCCTACCAAATTCATCCACCAATCTCTGCAACTTCTCTTCACAATCTCCCAAGAGCACAGTGTCATCAGCAAAGAGCAACTGTGACAACTCCCACTTTATGTGTGATTCTTTATCTTTTAACTCCACGCCTCTTGCCAAGACCCTCGCATTTACTTCTCTTACAACCCCATCTATAAATATATTAAACAACCACAGTGACATCACACATCCTTGTCTAAGGCCTACTTTTACTGGGAAATAATTTCCCTCTTTCCTACATACTCTAACTTGAGCCTCACTATCCTTGTAAAAACTCTTCACTGCTTTCAGTAACCTACCTCCTATACCATACACCTGCAACATCTGCCACATTGCCCCCCTATCCACCCTGTCATACGCCTTTTCCAAATCCATAAATGCCACAAATACCTCTTTAGCCTTATCTAAATACTGTTCACTTATATGTTTCACTGTAAACACCTGGTCCACACACCCCCTACCTTTCCTAAAGCCTCCTTGTTCATCTTCTATCCTATTCTCAGTCTTACTCTTAATTCTTTCAATAATAACTCTACCATACACTTTACCAGGTATACTCAACAGACTTATCCCCCTATAATTTTTGCACTCTCTTTTGTCCCCTTTGCCTTTATACAAAGGAACTATGCATGCTCTCTGCCAATCCCTAGGTACCTTACCCTCTTCCATACATTTATTAAATAATTGCACCAACCACTCCAAAACTATATCCCCACCTGCTTTTAACATTTCTATCTTTATCCCATCAATCCCAGCTGCCTTACCCCCTTTCATTTTACCTACTGCCTCACGAACTTCCCCCCACACTCACAACTGGCTCTTCCTCACTCCTACAAGATGTTATTCCTCCTTGCCCTATACACGAAATCACAGCTTCCCTATCTTCATCGACATTTAACAATTCCTCAAAATATTCCCTCCATCTTCCCAATACCTCTAACTCTCCATTTAATAACTCTCCTCTCCTATTTTTAACTGACAAATCCATTTGTTCTCTAGGCTTCCTTAACTTGTTAATCTCACTCCAAAACTTTTTCTTATTTTCAACAAAATTTGTTGATAACATTTCACCCACTCTCTCATTTGCTCTCTTTTTACATTGCTTCACCACTCTCTTAACCTCTCTCTTTTTCTCCATATACTCTTCCCTCCTTGCATCACTTCTACTTTGTAAAAACTTCTCATATGCTATCTTTTTCTCCCTTACTACTCTCTTTACATCATCATTCCACCAATCGCTCCTCTTCCCTCCCGCACCCACTTTCCTGTAACCACAAACTTCTGCTGAACACTCTAACACTACATTTTAAACCTACCCCATACCTCTTCGATCCCATTTCCTATGCTCTCATTAGCCCATCTATCCTCCAATAGCTGTTTATATCTTACCCTAACTGCCTCCTCTTTTAGTTTATAAACCTTCACCTCTCTCTTCCCTGATGCTTCTATTCTCCTTGTATCCCATCTACCTTTTACTCTCAGTGTAGCTACAGCTAGAAAGTGATCTGATATATCTGTGGCCCCTCTATAAACATGTACATCCTGAAGTCTACTCAACAGTCTTTTATCTACCAATACATAATCCAACAAACTACTGTCATTTTGCCCTACATCATATCTTGTATACTTATTTATCCTCTTTTTCTTAAAATATGTATTACCTATAACTAAACCCCTTTCTATACAAAGTTCAATCAAAGGGCTTCCATTATCATTTACACCTGGCACACCAAACTTACCTACCACACCCTCTCTAAAAGTTTCTGCTACTTTAGCATTCAGATCCCCTACCACAATGACTCTCTAACTGATCCTTCAACATTACTGCTACCCCTTCCTTTGCTCTAACTCTCTCAGATACTCCAGATTTAATCCCATTTATTTCCCCCCACCGAAACTCCCCTACCCCCTTCAGCTT